AATCAAAGATATTATTAGTGAGACATAATTTTTCAGTCTCCATTTTATAGATAACTCAATTGAAGTATGAAAATACTAAATATTTGCCAACGTCACAGAGCTTGTAACCTGTAGTAACAGGACTAAATCCCAAATCTTTTGATTCCAGGTTCACTTGATGTGTGGAAAACCACTTGATGTCAGTTGCAATCCTCAGTTGTGACAACCAAAAATGATCCCTTGGCCAAATCACCAACCAGAGTTGAGATCCACCGTTCTAAGAGGTGAGCACTGTTAAGAAAAATTATCCAAAACTTAAAATAGGCAAAAGGGATTAGTGGGTGTCATTTTATTGTAGTGCTAGGCATTGTCTAGCAGGCTGGAGATAATCTGATTGTCTAGGGGTGTGTATCTTTATGTTAAATTAATTAAACAAGGAGACCATTAGACTGAGGTGATTCTAATACCTTAGCAGCCTGTGTAAGCAAACCAAAACGTAAGCCTATAAATGCCTCAAGGTTAAGAAATTGAAACCTAAGGTCAAGCAATCAAACACAGCCACCTAGGCTTTCCCAAATAAGGCAAATGCTTAAGCTATAGCCAATCAAAAAATTTTCTTGCTTTGTTTCCGCATCTTCACTATAAAAGTCTTTCCCCAGCTCTTGTTGGTGGAGCACTGCTAACCACTTCCCATGTGGTGCTGCACGATTGAGTCAATTTTTGCTCAAATAAATTCTTAAAATTTTTAATATGCCTCAGTTTATCTTTCAACAGTTCTTTGACTCTCAATTTGCTATTGATCGGGAAATTCACAGCTGTCTAAGGGTAGAGATTATCTTGTAGGAACCAGATAGCAGTGAAAATAATTCTTGTCAGCTAGCAGTACAAATTATTTCTGTATGATTGAAAAGATAATCAATCCCAAAAGTTATAATTTATTGCCTTGTAGGACATTAACCAGTTTTGTATTTACCTCAAAATGTTATTCTATTCTTTTTAAATGCCTTTTCTGATGGATATATAAACCCTTGTTCCTCAAATGCTTTTTTTTTTTTTTTTTTTAAAGATTTTATTTATTCATTTTTCTGCCCCCCAAAGCCACAGTAGATAGTTGTATGTCATAGGTTCACATCCTTCTAGTTGCTGTACGTGGGACTCGGCCTCGCGTTGGACGGAGAAGTGGTGCCTCGGGGCGTGCCCGGGATCCGAACCCGGGCCGCCAGCATCAGAGCGCGTGCACTTAACCGCTAAGCCACGGAGCCGGCCCTCAAATGCTTTTTAAACCAGCATCTCACTGGTTCCCTTACTAGTGGATTGATAATCTTTGACAAGTGTTCTGCATTTGTATAAGAGCTATGATTTAAAATCTTTGAAAATCACATTTTACTATATCATTGGATCCACACTGGGCCAACTAGTCTTTGGAAGACATTTTAAACCAAAGCAGGGGAATAAAAGACATCTTTTCTCCGTGCTTCCTAAGCTGAAAGCAGGCGAGTTCAGGCCGCCCGGGACCTATTTCTACCACATTTACCCAATATCATAGGTTCAAAATAGCTAAAGCAAGAATTTAAAGTACAGGAAAAAAGAGTAAATTTCTCCATATTACAAGATTTAAAGAAAATCTTCTAAATAAATGATAGATTAAGCAGCAGAAATTATTACAAGAAGATTTGAACTCCATAATTAAAAAGCTTGATTTAATAGAGAGAGAGGGATATATGTTAGCACTCAGTAATGGAAAAGTACATATTCTTTTCAAGCACACAGAAAACTGATTATATACTAGGTCATAAAGTTTATTTTAACTAATTTCAAAAAATATTTCCATACAGAGTACATTATCTAATCATAACTCAATTAGGTTAAAAATCAATAACAAAAAGATAATTTAAAAGAAACCTTAAGTTTGGAGATTTACAAACATACTTCTATGTGACATATGGGTCACAGAAAAAAATATTCCAATGTAAATCAGCAACTATTTGAACATGAATGCTAATGAAAATACTCCCTATTCAAGCATGGGAATTCAGCTAAAATGTAAACAAAGGGAAATTTAAAGCCTTAATGCTTAAATAAAAGAGAGAGAGGGCTGGAAATCAATAAGGATCTAACTGAAGAAGTCAGCATGCCTATGGAACAAATTCGAAGATAATAGATATAAGAATTTACAGAATAAATTTATAAAAATGAAAACAGATAAAATGTAAAGAATCAGCAAAGCTCAAGTTTCTTTTGAGCACCCTATTTGAGTCTGAGTATCCTATTTGACTCCTTAACTACACTATTTGAAATTGCAATGCCTTCCCAACCTAAGGCTGGGTTTAGGATGAGGGGAGTGATTTGCCTGATGCCCAAAATTTAAGGAGATGACTAAAACTTCAGTAGTCAAGATAAATAATATTTTAATGGAATATTTTTAAAAATCAAAATTAATGCAAAAATATCCACATTAACCAAATACCAAAAATTTACATAGACAGTATCCAACCCGGCACTTGCACAACCCCCGAGAGTAAGTGCCTCACCGGCCACACTCTAATTCTGGCCCATGGATTATTTGATAGCAGTGATACCAGACATGTGTTCAAAATTTAAATGGCAATGCTTCTAGTATAATTTTAGTTTAGGATAAATATTCTTTATCACGTTATGGAAGTACCTCACAAAAAAGACTGAATTTTATTAAATGCCTTTTCAACATATATCAAGGTGATTATTTGCTCTTTCTCCATCAACCAACTGATGTCATAAATTATAACATTCCTTCTAATACTTGTCCTCTCTTACACTTCAGTTATAAATTATAATAGTAATGGTATATTTTAATTGAACGCTGGAATTAATTTTCAAATATAAATATTTGGTCTTTGCCTATGTATTCATAAGTGACATTCAAATTTCTCTATAGTGCTATCTTTGTGAGGTTCTGTTATCTGAGTTTTTCTAGCTTTATAAATGAAATGGTAAAGTTACCTTCCTCTATAATCCTTGAATGGTTTCAAAAACACCAGAATTCTCTTTGGTCTGAAAGTTTGGTAGAAATCACCTTGATAAGAAGCATCTATCAACTCCTTGGTTGGAGTTTTACTTGGGCAGCTTGGAAACCCTGTTGTCTGTGACGGAAAAGATGCTCACTACAGTCCGAGGCTGCCATGTGCAAGGAATGCCACTTCTCTGCTGCATACTTTCTTTTCCGCTAGCTTTCTCTAGCCAGCATGACTGTCATCCTGGGCATCAACCTCAGTAATGACCCCTCTCGAGGTATCATCTATGTCAAAAGTCAGCCCTTATCAACAATGATAAGATATCAGCTCCAGTAACATTACCTGTAAATTTTCACATGACTGCCATCTGCCCCCCTCTGCCCCCTTCTAACTGCCATGGTCCACTTTTTTTTTTTTTTTTTTTGGTGAGGAAGATTGACCCTGAGCTAACATCTGTGGCAATCTTCCTCTATTTTGTATATGGGACACCACCACAGCATGGCTTGTTGAGCAGTGTACAGGTCCGCACCTGGAATCTGAACCCACAAACCCCAGGCCACTGAAGCAGAGCATGTGAACTGAACCACTACACCACTGGGCTGGCCCCTGCCATGGTCCACTCTTATCTCTAGTCCTGCCACCCTGACTCAGGCTTTATTATACCAGCTAAGAGGCTTTTTTTTTTTTTTTTTTTGTGAAGAAGATCAGCCCTGTGCTAACATCCATGCCAATCCTCCTCTTTTTGCTGAGGAAGACTGGCTCTGGGCTAACATCCATGCCCATTTTCCTCCACTTTATGTGGGATGCAGCCACAGCATGGCTTTACAAGCGGTGTACGCCCAGGATCCGAACCCAGGCCGCCAGCAGCGGAGCACACGCATTTAACTGCTACGTCACAGGGGCCGGCCCCGCTAAGAGGCTTTCTTATCACCTATAGACAGGGAGAAAAAATTGATAGAGTTTGTGGTGGACTACGGAAGGCCACAAAGTCTTTCATACTACTCTCATCAAGAGGTGACTGATGTTGAATCTGGACTGGCCTAGACTGTTTTGACCCATGGAGTATGACAGAAATGATTTTATGCCAGTTCTGGGCCAGCTTTTAAGAGAAATGGCAACTCCCACTTGGCCTCTTCAAGTCCCCCATCAAAGAACTCTACCTTCCCTGCTGGATAGAGCATGTGGAGAGGCCTTAAGACTAGAGGGAGGAGGGGCTCAGTCCAACCCACCCTTCCAGCCATCTTGCCAAGGCACCAGGCATGTGAGTCAAGTCATCCTGGAGCCTCCAGAGCAATGTGGCTGCCAGTTGAATACCATCAAGGGACTCCAAGGATGTCATGTGGAGCATAAGAAACACTTAGCTGAGACTTTTCTGAATTGTAATCTACCAAGTCATATGATATAATAAAGTGGTTATTGTTTTAAGCCACTAAATTTTGGAATGGTTTGTTACATAGCAATAAATAACTAAAACAGTCTCACAGAAAGTGTTATTGTGTCATGCTTGTGTCAAAGGGAGCAACTGTTTTTTTAGCTCTAACCCCAATAATCTTATATCTCCGTATTTTTTCACAATAGGCTATAGAAAATGTTCACTGCAGAAGTGGACTCCCATTTCTGTTGAGACTAGTGATTCTTAAATATTAATGCACCTAAGACTTGCCTGGGAAATTATTAAAAATGCCAGTTCCTAGGACCCTCACCCAGATATTCGAATTCAGTAAGTCTGATACAGGGCTCAGGAATCTTCATTTTAAGAAACACCCAATGGTTTTTACACTAGTGGTCCCAAGGGCATACACAGAGAAGCATTCAATAAAACGTGCCCGAGATGGTGAGGCTGTGAACTAAGCCATGCAGTGGGAATGGCAAGAGAGGAAAACAAGGAGCTTTAACATAATCTTCTCTGGCCCCATCCCCTAGTCTCATTTCTAGGCTTCTCTCATCTGAATTCTTAAGCTCTGCATTCAATTAAAAAACATCATGTATATGTTTTTCATTTTATTTTAGCGTCTCAACTCCCATGTGAAATAGAACAGACATTTTACAGAGAAGTGACTAACCTATATCTAACAGACATCAAATGCAACAAGTCTGAGCATAGAGTATCTAATGCTAAGAATCCCAGGCCTTGTCGCTCTGAGGTCTTTATTTTATTTTACTTTTTAAAAGAATATCAGAGGTTCTTCAAATCAGAAACACCGCCACCAGGACCCATCTTCTTCATTATGATCATCACAATCATGCTTAATGACTAGGTGTGGATTGCCACCTCCCACAGCTTCCAGCAGCTTCTGGGCTTCCTCATCAAATGCCTCTTTGCACAACCTGAGGAAACAAGGAAACATCTCTGCTTGCACTGTTTTCCCACAGCCCTTTACTTTCTGCAGAGAATTTATCTCAGGGGGAAAAAACTGATAAAGTAGAGAGAGAATGTTATTAATGCGGCCAGGGAGTGGGAAAGGAAACTATGAGGGATACACTGAGGGAGATACAGCAGTTGAAGGAAAATGGAATATAGAAGAGAAAGAGAGAAACAGATTAAAATTTAAGAAGATCCTCCAAGAGCCTTTTTCTATACAAGCAAAATAGTACTACTAATGATGATGAGGAAAAGAGCTAACACATACATTGTTTATGTGCTAGGCACTGTTCTAAATACTGCCTATACTAAGTCAGGTGATGGATCCTCATGATAACCCTATGGGTAGATATTATCATTTCACCCATTTTACAGCTAAGGAAGCCAAAACACAGAGAGATTGGGGACTAGCACAAGTTCAAATATCTAGTAAGTGGCAGGGCCAGAATTCAAACTCTGGTAGTCTAGCTCTAGAGTTCTCGGCTCTTAACCACCATGCTACGTTATGTCTCTCAAAATTCAGTGTTCCATGGGAGAAAAACAAACAAGGGCCTTGAAAATACCCAAGGATACACAATCAGGTTGATCCTGAGGCCTGCAATAAATGAGTGCTCCCCAAATCCCTCATTACAGGGAACTTTCCCCCCTGAAGCCAATGAAGACTTACCCTAGAACTTGTAGTTTACATTCAGGAGACTTCAAGACTTCACATAACTTCCCAATTCCTTCATACCCTAAGGTATTCTGTGTCAAGTTTATTTTTATCAGTCTTTGGTTGCTGCTAAGCATAGAGGAGAGATCCTGACAACAGAGAGAGGTCAGACCACAATATTCCAACCTGCAGGGAAGAGAGACTAAAGCTAAAATTAACTTTATGCCATGAGAGAGAGCAAGCACACAAGAGATCTGTGAGTATAACTCCAGAAGCTATTAAAACAAAAAAAAAGAGCACAATTAGGGTAAATTTAAGGAACATAAGTACTTATGATATTACTAGACACTTACAGGCTGAATATATCCCTTCCTATATTATGAATCACAAATTCACAATTATAGTTCAGGGAATAAATAAAATATGGAAGCACACTAAGGAAAGCTATGAAGCAGCTGGATCCTTGAACAGCATTAAAAATATAGCAAGAATAAGTAGATTTTAGAAATATGGTATTGAGTATTTAAAAAGCAAGGTATATAATGAGGCTTCTAGCACCACACCACTTAACACAAATAAAAAGGCATACACCAAAAAACATTACATCTTTTACAAGGATACTCACAATTCTATGGCATATTTCAAACACATTAGGTCATTTGCCTATAAGTGGGAAGGAGAATGGTTAATGGAGATAAATTAACCAACTAACCAATCAACCAACAACAGTCACTCAAGGGCCCTTTCATAGACCAATGATAATATAATATCATGAACTGAGGAAGTATGTTACACTCAACCTTCTACACCAGGTGACCCCTCAAACCAACTAATTTTAATTTAATTTTCACCTTATGTTTACCTAGTCATTCAACAATTGAGTGCCTATACAGGTGCTGAGTATACAAAACTTTTTAAAGTTGCTGCCCACATGGAACTCACATTAATGTGGTGGAGCAATAATCCCACTAATATGACACAAGATAAACAAATATCACACAAAATAAACCTTAGGATAAAAAGCATTATAAGATATAAAAAGTTATCAAGAATTCATCAGCTGTTGGGTATTTATCCAAAGAACTTGAAAACACCAATTTGCAAAGGTACATGCACCCCTGTGTTCATTGCAGCGTTACTCACAATAGCCAAGACTTGGAAGCAACCTAAGTGCCCATCAAGGGACGAGTGGATAAAGAAGATGTGGTATATATACACAATGGAATACTACTCAGCCATAAGAAACGATGAAATCCAGTCATTTGTGACAACATGGATGGACATTGAGGGTATAATGCAAAGTGAAATAAGTCAGAGGGAGAAGGTCAAATACCGTATGATTTCCTTCATTAAGTAGTAGATAATAACAACAATAAACAAACATAGGGACAGAGATTGGATTGGTGGTTACCAGAGGGGAAGGGGGGAGGGAGGAGGGTGAAAGGGATAATTCGGTACATGTGTATGGTGATGGGTTGTAATTAGTATCTTGGTGGTGAACATGATGTAATCTATGCAGAAATAGAAGTACAATGATGTACACCAGAAATTTTTACAATGTTATAAACCAATAAAAAAAAAAAAAAAAGAATTCATCAGGCTACATAATCATTCTAAACTAGTAACAGTCTTAAAATACAGAAAAAAATGAACAGAACTACAAAGTGAAAGACACAAATCATTATCATCTCCAATTAAAATGGAGATCTTAATGTATTTTTCACAGTAATTAACTGAATTATCTGGAAAAAAATCTCTAAAAATATAGATGATTTGAACAACAGAATTAACAATCTTAACTGATATAAAATGCTACTACCAACAACTCTTCATATTCTTTTCAAGTGCACCATGAAACACCTATCAAAAGTGACTGTGCTGGGCTATGAAGCAAATGTCAACAAATTTCAAAGAATTAAAATCCTGCACAGTATGTTCTCAGAACATACTAGAGATTAAATATAAAAAGATAAGAAATTCCTCTTACATTTGAAAATTAAGGCGTACACTTTAAAATAACCCATGGATTGAAGAAATAATCATAAGGGAAGTAAAATATTTTAGACTGAAAAATAACAAAACACTGCATATACTATCAAAACTTGTAGGATGAAGTTAATGGAGTGATTGAAGGAAAATCATAACCTTAAGTATGTGTTGGAAAAGAAGAAAGGAAATATTTATGAGCTAAGCATCCAACTCAAGAATTTAGAAAAAGATCAGTAAACTCAAGGAAAGTAGAAGAAAAGAAATAAGATAAAGACAGTAATTAAACATCATTAGATCTCTAAATCACTAGAGATGATTTAGAAATTAAGCAGATTTTAAAATCTTAGACACTTGCCAATAATTTTTAAAATTTAGATGAATTGGATAAAATCATAGGAGCAATATTACTTACCAAAAATTATTCAATAAGAGAAAACCTACATAAATTCATAATTATTTTGAAAATTGAATCAGAAGTCAAAAAAACTCCACACAAAGGAAACTCCAGATCCTATAGCTTCACTAGAAATTTCTAAAGTTCAAGGAAGAAATAATTCAAGTCTTACACAATCATATGCCAAAAACACACACCTGATTCGCTAAAATTTTAAAAATTAAGTCTGACAAAATTGGCAAGAACAGAGAACAATAGGAACTATTACACACTAGAATAAATTGGTACAATCCTTTTGACAATATCTGGTAAATCTGAAGACATATTCCCCATGATATAACAATTTCACTCCTAATTATTTACCTTAGATAAATGTATACACATATGCCTCAGATTTCATGTATTAAAATATTCATAGCAGCACTACTCATAAAAGAAAAGAAATGAAAAAACTCAAAAGTCCACCTACAATAGAATGGTTATATAGTTTATGGTATTGTCATTTGTTGAAACTTTTACAGCAATAAAAATGAATTAACTACAGCTACATGAAACAACTGGATCTCTTACAATTGCCACATTGAGCAAAAATATCATAACAGAAGAATACATCAAGTACGATTCTCTGTATATAAAGTTCAAAATCAGGCAAAATTCAACTATATTGTTTAGGATTACATATACTCATGGTTCACCATACAGGAAAACAAATAAATGACTGCCATAAACATCAGGATAATGGTTAATTCTTGGGGAGGAGGGAAGAAGTTGTGATTTGGAAGGGATGATTGAAGGGAATTTAGTTTATGGGGAAATTCAATTTCCTGACCAGGGTGTGGTAACACACGTTTGATTTTTAAAATATTATTCACTTTTCTGTATGTATTTTACATATAATAATGAAAATATTTATTTTATTTTTTTTTTATAATTTTTATTTTATTTATTTTTCCCCCCCAAAGCCCCAGTAGATAGCTGTATGTCATAGTTGCACATCCTTCTAGTTGCTGTATGTGGGACGCGGCCTCAGTATGGCCGGAGAAGCGGTGCGTCGGTGCGCGCCCAGGATCCGAACCCGGGCCGCCAGCAGCGGAGTGTGCGCACTTAACCGCTAACCCATGGGGCCGGCCCTGAAAATATTTAAAATATGATTTGGCAGAGCTTAAAAATAACAGAAAATAAAAATAAAAATTATAAAATGAAGGTCACATAAGAAGCAAAAAGGAGATCACAGCGGCTGAAAATACACATAGGAATAGGTAGGATGGGTTAGGAAAAAAAATCAAGCAAAAGAAGAATGAGCTTTAAAAGATTAAAGAAAATTTCAGATAAGACAGACCGACAAAAGAGATCCAATATAAGCATAATTAGTGATTCTGAAAAAACCATTCAACAAATAGATAAGCAGACATTAAAGATAGGAAACCCTACCAAAAAAGAGCAAAATTACAGATTAAAATGGCATACCATTTCTCCAGAAAAATAATAATAAAATTCAACAGGACAAATTCTTGCACCTAAGGAGCAATTGTATGAACATCCAGGCCAAAAAAAAACCAGAAAGGTATTTTTAACCAATAAGTACACTGAAGGGGAAGAATCAGCTGATTTCAGACTTTTCTACAACTAGATTCAATGCTAGCGGGCAGTGTACTCTCTGTGAAACTCTCAGAAGGATGACCAAAATATTATGAACACAGCCAACCTATCATTCAAGTTCATAGAAAACTAAGATATTTTCAGATATGCAAAAAATCAAGGAGAAGTATAGTATCCATGTCCCCCATTTTGAAGAAACAATGGGCCAACAGTCAAGGTATTCAATGAACATTCCACGGTCCCTACCATCCACAGGCATCTAGTATTGCCAAGCTCTGGTATGGCCCCTCAAAATTAAATCAAAAAGATTTCTGACTACCTCCCTCACCAGCTCTGGTCAACATACCTTAGCAGGGGAATTTGGTCACTAAATGTGGCTATCCCTTGAAATGGCTATCCCACATCCTGGGTAATGGGGGTGGAAAGTAGCAACACCAATACCTGGGAAAAGAACATCTTAGAACTGGGGAGGTATAGGGAATGGGGAAAACAATTAAGACTCTCTTTTTTCCCCTAGAGCCAACACTGCCACCTGGCAAAATAATGACGTGGTCTGCTTGAGCCAAGCAGCAGCTGCAGCTGGCAGTCTGACCCACTGCCCAGTTGTCATGATGTCCACATGCTATGAAAACAGAAAATCTCATGTGGACAGGGCAGGCCTTGAACTATTCTGCTGTGCCTGAGGCCATCAATGGCAGCCCCCAAATGTGGACCCCTCTCACATGTGTACAAACAGAACAAGTGGTACAACCTTGTTTCAGTCTGATACAAATTCATTAAGCTTCTCTTGATGCTGGAACAGCCTTGGGTTATGCCATGTATGGCAAACAAGGCAGCTGTAACTATTCAGTTACACTTCTCACCTGATATAACCAAACCACTGTAATGGTGACCTAAATCAAATATAACAACAAATTCCACACTGGAATGACCTGTGCTCCTTTCGGTTATATGTTTGTATGTGGGCAAGTGTGGACCACTGAATGTCTCTTTATTGGGGATGAGGTTGCTTTTGGCCAATTTTTTTGACCCCTATATTTATTACCAGTGACACCAAGATCAGCAGGTCATTCTAAACTCCCTTTCATGAGTTGTAATGGATAACAAGACCTATTGGTCCCTGGGTCTTATCTTCAGCCCAGGCCGCTGGGGCACAGTTGAAATCAGTATTGCACTTTGACCTCATCCTGTGCTTGGAGTCCTGTTGATAGTGGCCTTAATTAAAAGATGTATGAGAAAAATTGAAAAGATTTGGGCCCAACCTCTGCTGATCAGATTGATCAGAGTGGCCATGGAGTGGCATATCCATGTGAATATTCACCAGAAGCCATGACTGTATTGTGTAGGAAAAAGGAGTGGATATTGTTGGGAGACATCCTTCCATGGGTCTTTTGCTCTCCTACATGTTTTGCTGACAAAAATGCAAGACCCTGACAACTCTTTACCTGGGACATTTCCTAGGGTGTGTATACAATGAGCAACCTTGAGGGATGAAGTAATGTCTCTCTCCAGGGCAAAGAGCAGGCCTGTTTACTGCTTGCTATAAAATGGTGGGTCCCCCAAGCTCAATGTTCCTCTCTTGGGATGCAACCCACTGTATGTACAGACATCCATCTAGGCCTTCCACACTGACCCTTTGGAACTTGGGAGATAAGGGAAATTGACACAAACATGCTAATATTTATGCTGATTTGCTATATGAGTAATAAAGTCCTCTGTCCTGATAGGATTCTGCCAGCATCGATGAAACAATATTAGGCTAACTTATTAGGTTATAAGCAGGATAAAATTAAATTTCAGACCCAAGAGTTACAACATCATCACTGTTGTGATCAAGATATATAAACAGTCAATGGAAACACAGGAAAAGCAGTACTTTCTTGGAAGAGTTGGGGAGACAAATTTCTAAAGGATGAGACATATAGTGTCAGGGATTCCCACATATAGAGCAAAATTCTTGACCCAGAGGTCAACAATTCATGCTATAATATCAGTTCAAGATTTAAAAAGAAAATAAAAATCTAAACAATATATTATTGAATATAGAAAGTACTCAGAATATAGGACAAGATTTCATTACATTACAAACTCCTTGAAAGCATAAATAGCATTTTTCCAGATAGAAGGTTGTTAGTAAAATATTTGATTTAATAAGAAAAATTAATTCAAGGACAGAGGGAATATCTGAAGGATGACAGAATATGGAAGACCTAAATCAAGTACCATTTACTTAATATATACCCTGTCCAAGGCACTAAGGAGGACTAAAGAAATGTGAAATATGGCTTTTATATTAACAACATGCAATACATTGATCCACATATTTGAGATTCAGATTCTTATTTCTGAGAGTAACTTACCTTCTAGTCCCATTTATTTTTCATCCTCTCTCCATATACTAAATTTCTTCTAGGTATAACAGTCATCAAATGGGTATCATTTTCCTAATAAAAACTGAACTCACCCAAGCCTCTGAATATTACAGTTTGGATGTCTCAAAGCCTCCAACAGGATTTTTACTCCATCATCCTGCAAGTCATTGTTCCCAAGGTCCAGGCTCCGCAGGTTTCGGTTGTTCAAAACAGCAGAAGACAGATCCAGACAACACGCACTAGTGAGAACACAGCCCATCAATCTACAAGAAATACACAAGGGAAGTGAGGTCTTCAGTTGTGAGGCTTAATTAGGCTTAATTCTTCCTAGGAGAGATGTCCAGGCATTTGACCCTTTTTTCTGGCCCCTCCCTATCTACTATCCAGGACACACATGGGAAGGTCTAACATCACCAGTAGAAACAGATGGGATTTCTTAATGAGCAGAAAAAACCAGCAGGTAAAACTGCTTTTTCCCACAAACAGGTTGTTATCCATCAAGCTTCCCATCAAGGGTATAAACACTTATCTCTACCAATAATTAAAAAAAAAAAAAAAAGGGTGGGGGGGGGGGTCCTAAGTTTTCCCAAGGGACCCACAGATGTCTAAGCTTTCAGTTTCTAATATATTTTTAAAATAAAAATGCTTCCCAGGAATCTATCTCAAAGTGTTATCTCCAAAGAAGAAAGAAGCAAGCTACACAGATTTTTTTTTTTTTTTTTTTGCTGAGAGAGTTGCCCTGAGCTAACATCTGTTGCCAATCTTCCTTTTTTTTTTTTTCTTTCTTTTTTGACATGAGGAAGATTAGCCCTGAGCTAACATCTGTGCCAATCTTCCTCTATTTTGTATGTGGGTCCCTGCCACAGCATAGCTGACGAGTGGTGTAGATCCATGCCCAGGACCCAAACCTGTCCCACCAAAGCAGAGTGTGCCAACCTTAACCACTAGGGCATGGGACAAGTCCCACAAAAGAGATTTCTTTTAGGTCCTTTGTACAGTGTTCAAGAGCATTCATAATCTGTCTTCAAGCGCTCTCTTTCCATACTCTGTCACCCTATCCTCCAACCACACACATCCATTTTTTACCAAATATACCAGATCAGTCTTCATTCCTCTTCTTTTCTCTCTCCTTTCCTTCTGTCTAGGATATCTGCACATAACAAAATCCTCTTTATCTTTCAAGCCTAAAGTAACTCAGTCTCCTCTGTCCCACTCATTGCTCCCTGGAACTTTTGCCATATCCTTATAACAACATATGGAATATATTATAGCTGGCTTTCTATTTATTTCCCTGTCATCTGCATTTTGTGAATTACCTGAGGACAGGAGCATCGCCTTAGCAATAACCTTTATTGTCTAGTGTCTAGCTCTCAGTGTCTAGCTCATATTTGTTGTAAATACTGGTTGAGAGAACTGGCATGGCCTGCATAGAGGCTATGAAGGTAGCTAAGAAAGCACAAATGTGGCTACATGTTTACAGCAATGCTAAGGAGAGAAAGTGGGCTAAATAAATATCTTGTGTGTATACGTCACTTAGAAATTATATCTCTGTAGCTGAAATGAAGGCATTGGATTTAACGATAATGTTTTCCAATTGAATAATAATCAAGGAAACATCAGATACCCATATTATATATGTTTCCCTAAAGGAAGTACAGGTGACTATTGGAACCAAGAGTTCAATCACCTTAGTGTTTAATCACTATTAAACTCATTTGGAAATTCCGTTATCATGAGTCAGCCCAGACAAGCCAAATACCTCTGGGTATACTAATGATTTTGAGTTTATAGTTCTAAAAAAAACAATGCTGTGTTAGACCCCTAATGATTCACCCAGGCTACTAGTCCCATGGGAGGCTTAGTGGGAAAAAGAGCTGAGATGCTAAGTGATACCTCTACCTTGCTTCACTCTAGCCACAATATTTATATAATGAAATATTAAATATCATGTAGCCATTATAATAATCAATAAGATGACTGTATATAAGTATTAAATGTGTTTCTGAAATACTATTACATGAAAAGGAAACCTCAAAGTCATGTCTATACAGTAATCACAATTACATATCCACGTATCATGCCTGTGTACGTATACCCACCCACACACAGAGTAAGAGAGAACATGACAGGAACACAATTGGTTGCTGTTTAAGAATGACGGGATTGTAGGATGTTTTTAAAAATTCCCTTCTCAGTTTCTTTAAAAGTTGACCTAATTATAAGCCCGAATTTAAAAAAGAAAAACTAGTAGAGCACAATTTCAGCTTCATGAATGTAAGGTGGAGGACACACAGTAGCCTCACTGGGGCAAAACCAAGGAAAAATAAAATGGCTACTGTTCAGCCTGATGCCTCTGGTCCTCCGTCCCTGAGGGAAGTTAACTGTAATAATTGTGTAAGGAAAATCGGATGAACAGACTTCTCCAGCTTGTCTGAGGCAGAATGAGAGAGCGGGAATCAGCTGTATATTTTTTTTCTGACAGATACTCATCTCTCAGCCTTTATTCCCACATCTCCCTGCCCTCAGAGTAGTTAAAGCTACACAAAAGTGAGGTCACAGAAAACCTACTCCAGGTCCTGAAGGTTACAGCTTGGATGCCGAAAGACATCACACAGAAGCTTTACTCCGTCGTCTTGTACCCGATTTGACCCCAGATCCAGATGCGTCAGGCTCTTGTTGCACAGGAGAGAAGATGAGAGATGTTCACTGCTAAGTGAAGTGAAATGGCAACGCCTCAGCCTATAGGAAGGACAATGTGAGGAAAGATGGAATCATTACTGACCAGAGATTTACACCTTTTAAAGGTTTCATGGTACGATCACATATCTACTTGTCAACTCTCCATCTCAGGTCAAATACCCTCTTCCCTCATTGCCTTTTTGGCTGTCTCACTTGGGATTCTTAGGTTTGCACCAAATTGGGCTACAAACTAGATACATGTTCTTCAGAATCTTTCTTACTGCAGTCATGCTCTGCATGATGATATTTCAGTCATATGATGGACCGCATATACGACAGTGGTCCCATAAGATGAGTACCATAAAGCCTAGGTGTGTCGTAGGCTATACCACCTAGGTTTGTATAAGTATACTCTATGATGTTCTCACAATGACGAAATCACCTAATGATGCATTTCTTAGAATGTATCCCTGTTGTTAGGTGACACATGACTGTATAAATAAACTGTTAACCTCTTTCCATTGTACACAGATATAGTACCCTACTGCAGAAGCAGCTGCATGGAGCAGAGGAGCAGGCAGATGGAGTAGATAGGGAGTGCTCATAATCAAGTCAGTACTTTTTGTACATAATAAAAGTGGCATTTCTGATCAGTAGGGAAAAGCTATGCCATCAATGATTCTGGGACAACAGACCTGACATATGGGGAAAATAAACTTAAGCCTTATAACAAAGTTAATTTGGAATAATTTAACATTTAAATGTTAAAAATTAAACCATAAAGAGTATGAAAAAGATGACATAAGTGGAGTTTTTTTTAAAAGAAAGGTATTTCCAATTAGGACAAAACTTCTCGAAGTCAGGAGGGGGAAGATAATTTGACTTCACAAAAATTTTCAACTTCTATATTCTAAAAATGAGCACAAAGAAAGTTAGAAATACAGCAACATGCTAGGTAAATTATTTATAATAAATTAAAAATAATAGTAATAATGTAGATGTGATATTAATAACCATAATATATAACATATACAATAGAAAACATCTAGAGGAAAACTTAGCCTATGAAGAGGCAACTCCTGGAATATTAAAGGCCAACAACATTTGAAAAGATGCTCAACATCAAATAATTTTTAAAGTTATTTAACTGTCTAATTAATGTTGATCAAGAAGATTATAGATACTCAGTGAGGGTAGGCTAGACACCCTGACTGCTGAGGGACTACAATCAATTTGGAGGCGAATCATATCTGACAAAAGGAAAATTTTGGCTCATCAATTCCACATCTAGGAAATCATCTAACAGCAATGAACAGAATAATCACACTGTGATCCAGCCATACCATGGAATGCTATATTTCTGTTGAATGGTATTCATATATATTTACCTGTTCTGAGCTCAGAATATGGAATTAGATAGGTGGACTTTAGTCCTGAATCCATCATTTTCTTGTAAGCATTAAGCAAATTGCATAATCTTTCTAAGCCTCACATTCTTCACCTGTACAATGAGGCACTTAGAACTCAGGTGGCCAATTTGACACCAACAGATACCTTTGTGCAAATTAAACAAATTTAGCACAGGACCCAGCACAGAGTAAGGACACAATAAATGGCAGTTATCAATATCATCATCTTTGTCGTCATCATTATCAGTAAGGATAACAGTAGGGAAAAAGCAAGGGACAGAATATGTTCATAATACTTTCCCATTTCAAATATATTTCAAAATGTATATTGTATTGGAAGGTTTAAAACTAGCAGACACTTACACAAGGCTCTGTAGAGTGCACTGTGGATGTTTCAAGGCATCACTCATAAGCTTTACTCCACCATCTCCCAAGATGTTGTCTGCCAAGCACAAATGTGTCAGTCTTTTATTGCTGATGAGGGCCAAAGAAAGATCCTCACAACCAGCTACTGTGAGGCCACAGCTTTCTAAACTGAAGGAGAAACACAGGAAGGGATCAGCCAACTCCCCAAGTTCATGCTTCTCTTCTCCTTCCCAGGAAAATTAGCTGGTACTTACAACCCCCATACCTCTACCATAGAATCAACCTCAGTAAACCTACTTAAATTATGAATTTCAGTGCAGCTATGTACAGGGTATGATGAAACAAAACATAGGAAGGGAGAGGAGAAGCCCGGAAAAGAATGAAAATAAGAAGTCAACCATAAAGAAAAGAAGTATCTAAAAGTCAAGTAGAAGAGGAAGGGCAGTAGAGGAAGAAAAGGAGAAGCTCACCAGGACTGACAAATGAGCCAATTGGTATCAAGACCCAAGCAGTTTCCCCATTCAGATCATAATTAAGCTACACAAGACTGAACACAAAGACTCTATAGGAAACAAAACAAAGACTCACGACAGTCTCTCTAGGTAACACTTTGGATGTCTTAAGGCCTCGCACAACAGCTTCACTCCATCATCCAAAAGACTATTGGTCGACAGATTCAGAAATACCAGGCTCTGGCTTTTTATGAGAGCCTCAGAGATATTTAGACAACAAAGTGTAGTTAGGTCACAGGATTCCAAGCTGGAAAACAATACATAAAAATAGGAATGACCACTCCTCCGAGAAGAATTATAACCACCACTCACACAGCCAGATGGTGTGGTCTCCCATTCATTGGGACCCATTCTGAAAATCAGCTTCCCTGCACAGAATGATAGTTATTTAACCAAAGCACAAGGCTCTGATAGAGAGTTAGGAGGAAAAGCTGGGGAGCTTGTCTCATCGACCCTCACCTCTCCAGTTCCCTATGAAAATATGTATGAAAGCATTCAAAAATATTTTTAAATGATGATCTCTTTTTATTCTGGGAAGACTGTCCTCTAACTACAACATGGAAGAAGGTGGATTGAAGGATGGCTGTATCCTTGCTCTCTCTGACTTCTGAAACAGATGGGCAGGAAGTCAGGAGCAACAGCTGTGATTCCCACAACTGTCTTGCCAAGGGCTCATTTATTCATGGGAGTCAACCCATGTTTTCTGAGGAACCTAGTCCTTAAGAGCAAAAGCAAGAAGTAAATCAGAAATAAAATCGTTTCTAAAAATAAGTAAAAGAAGAAGGGAAGAAGAAAAGAAGTGCATGTAGAGTCCATATTTTAGAAACTCATATTTATATGAGGCAGCTTGTGCTTTGGACATGGCTGAGCCTGATACCAGCTGTTTGTAAGAAGAGTCAGGCAGGGGCCGGCCCCATGGCTTAGCGGTTAAGTGCACACGCTCCACTGCTGGCGGCCCGGGTTCGGATCCCGGGCGTGCACCGACGCACCACTTCTCCGGCCATGCTGAGGCCGCATCCCACATACAGCAACTAGAGGGATGTGCAGCTGTGACATACAACTATCTACTGGGGCTTTGGGGGGAAAAAAATAAATAAATAAAATCTTAAAAAAAAAAGAGTCAGGCAGCAGCAGCGTTCCTGGAACTTGGAGTTGTTCTAGTCATTCCATGTAATCAAGAACTTATCAACTCAAGTCCCTCAGGAATTGGTTCTCTTCATCAAAACCAGGGTATATAGAGGTAGGACAGGAGAAGCTCCCTCCTCAGTCCAGAATTAGACCTCAATGGATGGCCTAGAACATGGCCTATGGCTGAAAACCTCAACTTGCCCTGAAAAAGTGTTATGGACTGAATTGTAGTCCCCAAATTCATATGTTGAAGCCCTAACTCCCAATGTGACTGTATTTGGAGATGGGGCCTTTAAGGAGGTATTAAGATTAAATGAGGTCCTAAAAGTGGACCCCTAATCCAATAGGACTGGTGTCCTTGTAAGCAGAGGAAGAGACACCAAGAGTGCATGCACACATAGAAAAGGCCACATGAGGACACAGTGAGAAGGCAGCCATCTACAAACCAAGGAGAGAAGCCTCACCAGAAACCAACCCAGCCAGCACCCTGATCTTGACGTTCCAGCCTCCAGAACTGTGAGAAATAAACTTCTGTTGTTTAAGCCACCTAACCAGTGATATTTTGTTACGGCAGCCCAAGTAGACTAATACAAAAGGGTATTGTATCAGCAGCCAAGCAGGCAGATAGGGAAGCAAGGAACATCTTACACATTGTGTTTGGATAGAGCTCTTTTAGACAAAAAAAGATTCCAATATTATAAGACTTGTGGATAAAATATTCAGGTTTACGAGAAAGAGAACATTACACCAAGGGATAGAAAATAAGCACATATATACAAAACAGAAAACTAGGAAACAGAAGAAGATGTTTAGAAAGGCTTGCTTTACATTTTAAAAGTACATATAGGAAAATGCAGACTACGAAACAAGAACAGCACATCATAAGTGGAGATCAGATTGAGAAAGGGAGCAGGTTTAAGAAAAAAGAGTGCAACGAAATTAAAAACAGTAGAAAACTGAAATCTGCGTTTGAAAAAATAAACAGCAAAACCAATGAGAATAAATTTGAGAAACTCCCCAAGAAGGAAGGGGAAAAAAGATTAAAATGACAAAAGATAAGTAAGATTTATATCAGAAAAGAGCTACAGCCAATGACTAAAGGCTGTTGAAAAACAGAGAGAGAGTGAGAGAGAGCGAGAGCGCGAGCCCTGAAACCATTTTAAAAATCTAATTTAAAGAAATCATTTCTGAGCAGAAAAGAAAAAAGGCTGCCAGCAGATCAAAAGTAATAAAATGCAAAAGTAATTAAAAAAATATCCTGACAATACTAATGAGAAAAAAGAACCCATATACTGGGAAGGTGAGAGGGAGTTGAGGGGCTGAAGTGTCAGGTTGTCCTCACTTCTCTTCAGAACACTGCATGTTAGCAAGTCATAGAGCAAAGTCAAAGTGCTGAGAATAAAGTGGGGACCTAAGACCCAGATAAGTTGTCATTCATCTACGAAGGCAATTGAAGGATATAAAGGAAGTTGTAAAATATATCATTCATATACATTTCATGAAAATGTTAGTTTAAAATTGTACCAGCCAATAACGCAATGAATCCAAATTAAGATTTTGTAAGTGGGAAAGGTGAGTTTAAGAAAACAAAACCTAGCAGTATACATTGATAAATATCAACTATATACAATTAAGTCTAAATAATTGTTGTATTCCTGTGCCTTGCAATGATAAGAAGTCAGAAAAGTTTTGAAAGCGTTCAAAGTGTAAAATATCTAGTCCCTGTAATCCTAGATTAAACTAACATACTGGAAATTGTATGATAGAGGTATACACTAAATGTGTTGCCTCAAACAAGGGTTTTTTTAAATGTTTTAATCCTTTTGAGTTTGATCAAGCATATATGCGGCAAAAAAAAAAAACCCTGAAGGGTAATAACTAATAGTCACCAATTAAAATAAAAACTGGCACTATAACTTGCAAATTTCTGGACACACATGTACACAGAACAAAAATGAAACAAAATGTAGCTCATTTGTGCAGCAAAAAATAGAAATATTACTGAAAATAAAAAATGTTTTTAACTGGAGATATAAATATTACATGCCCCAAAGTCCTTTTGTTCCTAATCTATTTTGCTCTTATCCTTTCCATATTATAAGTTTGAGTTTCTCAGGCTTTCTTCTTTTTTTCTTAGTGCTAATTAATAGAATTTTAGCTATGGACCTCCTAATTCTTGATGAATGAAATTGCAGCCTCATAAAAAGAAAATGTTTCCTCTTTTCCTTGCAGCTGCAAAGAAAAGTAGATGATATTACAAATCAGAAAATATTTTATATGAATAGTTTTGCTTTGTTTTATTTTTGTTTTACCAGAACAAGTGACTCTTACAAGATACCAGCACTTTAGATTATCGCTGTGTCTTATGAAAACAACCCTTAAGTCTGTACTTTTGATTGACTATCTTATTTAATAATGTGTCACTCTTGTAATATTCAAATTGGTATTTCTAAATTGCTAAATGTCACAAATATTGAAAAGATTTTGTCAAATCCGAACAAGGATCATTGGCACTCTCCTCTGCTCTCACGTGCGTAAGGTAATAAAAAATACAGCTGTTTCTTGTTTTTCTAGAGTTTGAAGGTCTTGTCTCATTTATATTAATATATAACATCAATCACCAGTGATCTATCAAAAGGGAAGCTGAGAGCTGAGGTTTGTAGCTTCAAATTGACCCCTAAATATGAGCCAGAAAATGGAGGAGATACATTAATTTACGTCTGGGTCCTGCTGGGGAACTGGCCCAACTCTCTCTTAATAGTGTCACTAAAATGAGGCCCTTGACTGAAAATTTCCAAAGGCCCTTAAAAGTCAGCACATTATACTTTTGTGGTGGTTGTTCTTTTGATTGCTGTCTGTGGCTCTGACCAGCTGTCATGGGGTACAGGGCCACAAGGCAGTCCTCACTGCAGCTGACTCAGAGGAGGGAATCCACGTTCCTAGAATAAGCATCTCTTGGGTTGAGAGTTGGTCAGGGAAGAACTTGATCTGATGCAAGATGCCAGAGTCTTCTTTATGAGCTGAGGCCCAGTGGAGTAAGCTCTCCTGTGCTGCTAGCAGATTAGGATCAGAATCACCTGAGAAAGCTGCCACTCCTCAGTCAGGAGGAACTATCCCCGAGGACGAGCTCTCCAGGGGCTCAGAACAGCTGTGTGAATGAATGTATTTTTCTTTTCTGAAAATGTCTGCTGTATAATTTCCAAGTTGCCCAAGGATTTTGTAATTTTGTTGTTGTTGTTGTTGTTATTTAAGTGTGAGATTGTTTTTCTGATGTGAGTTACAAATTGAGAGTTGGCAGAAGAGAGTTCTTGCTAGAGCAGTAAGGTTGCAGAAGTTGTCTGTTCCCTGCATAGCCTATGAACGCACCACAGGTGACAGAGGAACGGCGCTCACAAGAGAAAGAGCCTTTCGATTAACAGGATAGGCTTCATGGGCCTATTATAAATCTAGGTAAATTATCAGATAAATTAATCTGTTTTGCAATTTGAGGCTTAAAAGAGGGCTAGCGCATTTCTCCCTGATTTTACTACAGTGAGAAATCAAAATGTAAACACAAGGCTTTGTATTTCTTTAACAACAAGTCTAAATTAAAGAATTTCCTAAATCTCTTACAGTTCCCTTGTAGGTCAAATGATTATTACTTATATTAATATTTAAAAGCATATAATACTGGGCATATAATTGAGTTAAATAAATGATCAACATCCTTATAAACTAGAACCTTGTAAATGGTAGAATCAGACAATATTGCAAATATTATGCCATCTGGGTGAAGTTTTGAGCTGTCTTACTGTTTTACTATCTTCTTAGTTATTAACAGCGGTTATATTATCCTTAATGTTAACTTAAATATAGTTTCCGAACTTATTGATTTTGGAAACTTGGAGTGATATTTTAAAAATTAGTTAGTAATTTGTATTTATCTAAAGATTTCTAAAGAAGTCAAACTTCAAAGAGAAAATAAATTACACTCTTCCCACACAATTTATTACCATTTGTTCTTCATACTATTTAAATTAAGATAGAAAAATCAATGTATTGTCTTATATTTCATATTATTTGTGTTTAAAAAGTTAGAGCATAAACCTTTGTGATATTTCACTTAAACCTTGTTTGGTTTAAATGAACTGTGGATAGATACATATCAGTTTATTAAAGTTAATGAATAAAAGAGACATTTTTGTAATAGACAATAGAGGACCGGTATTTCCGTTTTAACTCAAGTCTCTGTCTACTGGGTAATCTGTGCAGGAGGCAGAACTTCTGATTTCAAGGTGTGTATCCTCGCTTTTCCAAAGCCCATTCATATTGTGATAACTCATTATGCTTTTGAGCCCTTCATGATTGTAAACAATTGTAATAAACCACAAGGGTTCCTCCCTCCCAGAAGAGCAAAAATTTCTACTGGTCCACATGCTATCTACCTGTTACACACTTTTTTATTTTTGTTAATAATACAGTCAAGGCTGTAGGTATCTGTCGTTCCCAGGCACCTTCTCTTATCTTTATCAACTCATCAGTTTCTTCTGGCAACTATTTTAGATGCTCCCTTCTTAAATCTTAGTCCTCTAATTCCAAATCTTGGAAGCTGTAGGGAGTGTTGTGCATTTATACCATTTTGGCACTCTTCAAGTGGCTGTTTGGTGGAACCAACGATGGTTCTCTCACCTTGCTTGTAAACCCCAATGGCAACAGGCAAACTAAGAGAAGTTCTGGGCACAATGAACCATTACTAGTATGCCCAAGGTTTTGTTTTGTTTTTTTCCCCCTATTTGCTCAACATATTTTAAGAGCTACCTTATTATCAGGCCCACAATGTGGAAAAAGTTATCAAGACACGGAGAGTAGATCCTTCTCCCCTTCTTGACGGGAACTTTTAGTAAATATTATAGTGAAATATTCACATGAAAATTAGTGATTGTGTGTACCTTTCCAGGATGCTCATGTATAAAGGCTGATAGGAGTCTCTCAGCAATTTAAAGTTTTCTATACAAAATACTGTATTTCTAAATTTGCAAAGTTCCCACATTAACTGGGGATCATATTTTGTGAGGCAGACTGGCAAAAGCCTACTAATTTATCAACACTTTCACTGCCCACATCATCTAGAATCAGTAGGGAGAGGAAGACATCAAAATGCAATTCTACAGTGTTACACTCAGCATGATCTATGCACAAACCAGACTGACGTGGCCAGTCAACTGTCCATAGCTCTTATAACATGAAGTCTAAAGCAAACATAAAACTGGAACTTTCCACATGAAAGGTTAATAGGAGGTCTACGAGACTATTGATTACTCCCCAGTGGCTACCCACACTGGGAGAACATCCAGTCCTACATAATGTAGTGTTGGATTATTATAAAGCTCTGATGACTTCTGCCGCCAAAACATTCTATTCACTGCTGCCAGGAGCCCTACTAGTTGACCCAGAGAGATGGTTTCCTATTTGAAAGCCTAGTAACTTGGGGCTACCTCAAAGTTTATCAGTGGAACACATTGTTCAAACCTCAACTCATGAAAGGGATCTTATCAAGTCTTGCTGGTCTGTCAAGTGCCAAGGCATTTTGTCTTGGATCCATGGCTCCCACTGTAAGCATCTTTCCCTCCATTTAACAGCTTTTTGCTACTAATATGTTTTATTATTAGATAGAGGAACCAACGACCCACTTCTCACCTGGTTTCCAGACCAGAGAGAGGCTCCAGGTTACAGAAAATTTCTCAAAATGTCCTACAACTACTTCATAAGCAGGTAAAACCAATACTCCAAACTGGCCTGCTAATAATTGAACTCAACACATGTTCAAGAATTATCAAACACCTTTCAAAACATACAAGTGAATTTTATTCTGTAAAAACTGGTGAGACAAAAAAAAAAATTCCCAATGATAACAAAATTCATCTTCCTAGTGTCAAAAAGAAGGTCTTGTTTCAGATTTTACTTGTTTTTTCTACACATAGATTATAATTTGCTTCCCACAAATACAGACCTACCTTGACCCTTCATGCATCAAGGTTTAGTCTTGCCCACTCCCACCCCACTGCCAAATGAGTCCAGGGATAACAAAAACTTGTAAGGTACAACTTACTGTAATGATTTTTTGTTTTGCTTTTGTTTTTGTTTTATTTTGTCAGAAACTGAATTAAATACCTTTCATTGGAAAATAAGATCTTTCTTGAAACCTGTCACACAATGGGGAGAACAAGTATGATTGCTGATCCACTCACTTTCACGGAGAAAGAAAATCAGGCCCACCACTAGGGTCAACAGTGTGTGATAGCGGGCGAGCACCTTGACAACTGACAGCTGCTACACTGTTCCTCCTCAACTTTCTGTACTCATCACTGAGTTGCGATTATAAGCAGAGGGGGATTTGCTATCAAAAATTAAGTAAAACTGAGCCTGCCTCAGCACTGCCCCCAGTTACCATTAGTGCATTCTTTTCTGTGCGAGTTTAAGGATATAATGAATATACATATTTCTGCATTTAAATATGAAAATTTTTAAGTGTTTATAAATGTGGGTCTGTTCTCATTTTTTGTTTCAGATTGAGGAGATGGAGACACAGAGAACTTACAACGAGGGGTCTTCAGTCGGGGAATGGGAGGAGTTAGAAGTCCTATCAGGAGGAAAATCAGCCTGAATCTCCTGATCCCTGCTATACCATACCATAAAAACAGATTTAAGCTAGCCCTATGAATAACAAGTCCAGGCTGTAAGAGTCTACTTAGGCAGACAAAAGTCTCAATTATAATAAAAATCTCATGATTTACCTCAGATTCTGTAGTTTACACTCTGGGTGTTTCAAGGCTTCACATAATGACTTTACTCCGTTGTCCCCTATATCGCTCCCTTTCAGGTTGAGATGCATCAGATTCCGGTTATGAGTCAAAGAATGAGAGATATCCTGACAACCATCAGGGAAAGAAATAAACCTCAACCTTTGGAAGAAAAATACACAGGAGAGGTCACAAAATCATCTCTGTCTCTGGTTACAGCATCCCTTTCTTTTCAAACTCAGCTCTTAGATATTATCTAAATAGTCCTGCCTCTCTCATCTTACTCTGGGTATCTCATATTCCAGGTCAGGTCATAAATCCAAGTTTCAGGATGTGGCTTAGGAAAATAACTGGGTTATACCTTAGATGCCCGTTATATCCTGATAACTGATACTCTCAACTTTTTTTGACCTTGAAGGAAAAGAAGTAATAACATCAGGAAAAGCAGAAGACAAGTTTGTGAACTCTTAATCCCAGGAACGACTACCAAAAATTATTGGGGCTATTCCAAATACTGCAATTATACCATTAATTCACAATATTTAATCCTTTAAATAACCCTATGGTGAGTTCATAGTTAATATCAACTATTTGATGTGCATCATTAGCAAAACCCATTGTTGCAAAATATGCCTTGTCATCTTGTGGACTTTGTTAGGTGTACAGAGACAGCCCAAAGCAAAACATGAAGTTAAATCTGCCAATTTTTCTTCCTATTTTCCATCTCCTAACTCAGTCACTGTTAGCTATATCTGATTCTTCTGTAGTGCCTCTGCTAGTCCCAATTGCCCTATGTTCACACTGCTCAACAACTGTTCAAAACCTCTCTGTGTAATATCACCTCCCCTCCCTTTTGCCCACCACTCACCCTTCATCCTCACCCCCCTTCCAGCCAAGCACATTCAAGAAAATTAAGCTTTTACCCATTTTGAACGCTAACTATCATCATCCAGTAAAAGTGTCTAATGCACTCATTAAATATAAATTGAAAGCACAATCTCACTTGTTAGGGAAAAGGGACCTGAGTAAGGCCACATTAAGGTGGGAAAGACCGAGAGCCATCTTCATGGTGTCATCCCCCTCAAGGAACCCTTGCAGTCTAAAAGAGGAAGCCATTTAACTCAAAAGAAGGCATTAACTATTGTTAGGACTTAGATTGGTGACATGCAGTGAAGGGACAATGTGGGGGAGATGTTTGGGGGTGAGTGAAAAGGACTTCCAGGAACCCCTTAATCATAACATATATGCAATTGCCTACCACATCTATATGCGAAAGCCTATCTAGTTACTTGAAATCTAAAGCCAGATCTCACTAAAAACACTGAGATTCTAAGGGAAATATTTAGAGGAAAGCCTGTTGCCCCCAAAAAAGAAGATTAATCTTCAATGCTAATGCAAACAAGCACTTATCATTGTTCAGTATTCAGTATGTATTACTGAGCACCAATTAGGCCTTGGGCGCGTTGATGGGCACTGAATACAGAAGAAAATAGGATCAGTCCCAGATCTTAGTAGGGCCAAGAGACAAGAGGGAGAGAGACATGTAAATAAGCAAAAAAAGTGATAGGGTATCTAGAACCAAATTAAGAACTAATAAAATAAAAGACTGAAATAGCAAATGTTGGCAAGGATGAGGAGCAGCTGGAACTTGCATATATTGCTGGTGGGACTATAAAATGGTACAACCACTCTGAAGAACTGGTTGGCAATTTCTTTAAAAGTTAAACATACATCTATGAACTAGCAATTCCATTCCTATGTATTAGCCCAAGAGAGGAAGACATATGTCACAAAAAAGATTTGTACAAGAATATTCATAGCAGCCTTATTCATAATAGCCTCAACTTGGAACCAACCCAGAGGTCTATTAACAAGAGAATGAATAAACAAATTGTAGGATATCATACAGTGGAATGCTAATCAGCAGTAACAAGAAACAAACTATTGAAACATGTGACATGGATAAATTTTTAAAAACATTTTGTTGAGCAAAAGAAGATGGACACAAAAAATACATACTGTATGAATCAATCTAAATGATTTCCAAGAACAGACAAAGCTAATCTATAGAGAGGTTAGCAAGTGACTGCCTTGGGATTGGACAGGGTGCGAGGACTGAATAGAAAGGAGCACAAGGAAACTTTCTGAGGTGATGGAGTTATTTTCTGTCTTGTTTTCTATGTCTATGTTTCTGTCTGTGTCTTATTTTCTGACTATTCGCAATAGTCAAAACTCAATGAACTAAACACTTAGTATTTGTGCATTTTATTGAATGTAAATTATTCCTCAATAGAAAAAAAAATTCAAAAGAAAAGATAGTATGTTCCAGAACTTGTCTTTGAAAATGCTTTGCTGACCTGCCTAGAATGCCCTAGCTCTGTGCTCTTCTTCATTCGGAAAATTCCTAATCAAGCCTCAAAAACCCATGTCAACAGCTACTACGCTCTGTGTAATCTTTCCCAGAACAAGTTAGTTATGCTCCCACGTCCCCAGGTTTCCACAGTGCATGTTCTTAAAGTTTTTTACACAGCGGATTTTAAGTATTTGTTTACTATTGGTTCCTTCCAATAAATAGGAGTAGGGGGTGGGATAAAGAAAGAAATTGGAATAACTCCATTAAATTTTCTCATGCCAGACTTACAGTAGTTTTTGTAGTTTACAATTTGGGTGCCTTAGTTCTTGATAAAAAGTCTTCATTGCTAATTTATCAAGGTTGCTATGACACAGGTCCAATTCTCTCAAGTGTTCGTTTGTATGAAGCACAGAACAGAGATCTTGCCAGCAATGAGTAATGCGACCACCATCCCTTTGCCTAAATAATTGGAAAAAGAAAAGATCAATAAATGTATTTGAGCCCAGGCAACTCTCAGAACATGGTACCAGGTGAAAGTAAGTATACTTTGGAAATGGCGAGAGCATCCAGTGCAGCTCTGGCTTGGGCACAGTCTACCAGGAGGCCCTCGTCTTGGCACTACAGAGGTTTCATTTGCCCAATAACTCCCCCACCCCACACTCCCTCAATACACACAAAATAAAAACTTCCTTACTTTGGAGGAAGAGACTAAGGAAGGACAAGAGAGAAGTCTTCAAATACCCAAAGATCCAATACCAAGAAGAAAAATGATATATGACCACAAAGAGTAAGATTAGGAATAGTGGGGTAGACATTAGGCAACTGTGCTATAGATTAAGAACCACAGACTTTGAGCCAGCCCCAGTCACGTCTGTTCCACGCACTCTGAAGTTTTCTTCATCTGCAAAAGGGAAATGCCATCTCCCTTTAGAGGGTTGTGAGGATTTAATAGTCAATTTTGGTGAGTATACAAAAGCACTCTGTAAATTTTAAAATGCTGTATAATTTAATTATTAGGCATATTATCAATGGACTCATTACAAACAAATAAACGGTAATAATGAATGAAACAGAGGATAGCCTAGTGATTATAAGCATAGACTCTAGAATGGAACAGTCCTGAGTCCCAACTCTGCCCTTCACTAAACTGGGTGATTGTGGCACCATTACTAACCTGTGTGAGCCTCAGCTTTTTCATCTTAAAAAAATGAAGATACGAGTAACTATTTCTTAGGATTACTGTGAAGATTTGGTAGACAATCTATAGAAAATGCTTAGCAAATGTTTCACATTGTAAATGCTCCTAGAAATTGATAGCTCCTATTATTTACATTAAAATATATAAAAGTATAGCATGTTGCCTGATACATAATAGCTACTATCGGGGAGGAAAAAAATATCTTTTTCCCTCCGCTCTCCTAGGTTCTCTGGCTGGGGCCCTGTAAATTAGACTGAAAAAAGGCAGATTAACAAAGAAAAGCATACACATTTTATTAGCATGTGCATCATGGATACAAATGGGAAGAACTCAGTTATGAGTAACTCAAAGGAGTGGTTCGAATTTGGGGTCTATATACCTAAATTAGTAGGGGAAAGGCAAGAGGAGAAAGGACACTTGGGGAAAAAGAAATGACTTTTTGGAAAGATAAATGGGTCCCTGGGGTGAGGGATGGGAGATATGAGAGTTTGTCACAATGTCTCTCTGGGTGTGGTGCCAACTTCTGTCTCCAAGAAAAGAAGATTAGAGTTGCTCCCAGGGAGGAGTTGAATTCTTTTGGGAAGCTCTACTTTTAGGCAGATAAGGGATTTCAGGAACTCAAATGCCTTCAGCTCAAACTAATTCTTATACAAAAGCTGCATATTTTTGAGTGGCATATCCTGATCACCTTCACTACTCAATAAATTTTGGTTCCCCCATACCTTACACTTAAATTGGAATGAATGACAGTGGTCTCTACATCACCTGAGGTCTTAACTTTGAGAAAACTAGGCAATAAATCATTCAAGCATTCAAGTGCTTGCTATATACAAATACTATGGATAAAATGGTGAACAAGACAGGGGGCATAGTTGTTAAGTTCACATGGTCCGTCTTGGTGGCCCGGAGTTCGTGGGTTCAGATCCCAGGCGCAGACCTACACACCGCTCATCAAGCCATGCTGTGGTGGCGACCCACATACAAAAAGTAGAGGAAGATTGGCACAGATGTTGACTCAGGGACCATCTTCCTCAAGCAAAAAGAGGAAGATTGGCAATGGATGTTAGCTCAAGGTCAATCTTCCT